TATATGGGACTTCGTTAGAGAACTTGATTATGGATCGACTTCAAAGGCTGTTAGTCTGAAAAAGGGAGTTTTGCAGCATCTTTGAGACGAACTGAACGAAAGAAGCTCAAGTCTAGGAAAGCTCATGCTACACCTTCTTTCGTTCAGTTCGTCTCAAAGATGCCGCAAAACCTCTTTGCATATTAATTATGGATAGAGAAAGGATTCCGAAGACCAGGGTTCCAATTCCGGCTCGGCCATGGAAACCCACTGGGTGGTTTGGGGGAAGTCACACTCTCTCAGCCTCAGAGCATGGCCATGGCCAAACTCCTCTGGAGACACTGGCCAAGAAAAGCCCATGATAGGTTCGCTTTAGAGTGGCCAGAAGTCGAGAAGGACTTTAAGGCACACAATAAGAACAACCAGAGATGCTCAGTGTGTGATTTTTGTATTAAAAACCAAAGGGAAGGGAAGAAGGAGGGATAAAAGGAAGAGAGAGGGAAGAGGGAGAGCAAAAATTCGGAATATTCGGGAAATTGGCTCTTCCTGCCTTGTGTTCTCAAGTCTTTTAGGCTGGAGAGTTGCATCAATACCATGGACAGCGAAGCTGCTTGGAGACACTGCAGGGAATGAGAGGAAGGGGCCTTGGGGGGATGATGGGTTTTGTTGTTGTTTTTCAACACTATTTTGCCCCCTTCTCCATCCCCAGACCTTTCCCTCCTCTCCTTTGCAAGCACTTGAAGGGAAGAGATGGGGGTAACAAAGGAAATAAATGCCTCTTTTCTCCCCCCTTCCCCTCCACAGTCAAAGAAAAGAGAAATTAAAACGGAGTGGAATGGATAGAAATTGGATTGAGGTTTACACTGGATTTGGATTGCCCCCTCTAGGAAAAAAATAGCCTTTCCTGGGGGCCATAGAAAAATGTCAGGGGCGTTGAAACGACGTTGCCTGTTAAATAGGTCTATAGCTTATAGGAGCATCCTTCAGATTTAGGGAATTTTTTGGGGGGGGATCCATTTGATAGATTTCTCTTGTCCTTGAAGTTTCCGAATTGGAAAGGCTGGGGGTTTGGGGGGGGAGTTAAAGAGAGGGTTAATGGGTGCTACAGAGAGAATTTGGTGAAGGAAATCTTTTAACTTTTGTATATTGCAGTGTAATGTTATCCTGTATTTAGATGGTTTGGGCTGTTTTAAATGCTATTGTAATTTCTTCTCTTTTTTAAAAAAGTTTTTATCTGTGAGCCGCCTTGGGTCCCTTCTGGGAGAAAGGCGATATACAAATGGAATAAATTAAATTAAATTAAATTAAAATAATCAAACAAAATAAAACAAATAATAAACGGGAAAGTAGCCAAACGACCCCACCTGAGTTAAACATCCCTTCACCCCATTTGCATCACTTGTATTTTTAAAGTACCTCCCTCTGTATATCACAGTATTTTTTTTAAAAAAAACCTCCTATATCCTAGACAAGTCACACGCTCTCAGCCTCAAGGAGAAGGCAAGGGCAAGCCTCTTCTGAACCAACCTTGCCAAGAAAACCCCAGGATAGGGTCGCCATAAGTCGGAAAAGACTTGAAGGCACACAACAACAACAATCTATCTATCTATCTATCTATCTATCTATCTATCTATCTATCTCCATATATGTGTGTGTGTTTATGTCTGTATATGTATCAGAGCTGGAGGCAAAGCTGTTTTTCCTTTTCCAACCACCACCAATTCCAGCGCTTGAAAACCCGTGTCAAACCATTTCAACCCTTCAGACAGGGCAAACCCAGCAACCCTGAGAGTAACAAAGGAGCAATGTTCTCTCCATCGGTCCCCAAAGGCTGAGGTGAGCAAAAGGAAGGGCAATGTAGAAGCCATCTGAGTTTGAGAGGGGCCACCACCAAAAAGCCCATTTCTCCATCCCCAATTGATATATTGACACACACACACACACACACACACACACACACCAATGTGGGGAAACAGAGGATCCACCACTTCCTCTCCTCTCAGTGAAAGGGCAGATTGTTGTTGGCAAGTGTCTTCAGAGGGGGGTTGCCATTGCCTTCCTCTGAGGCTGAGAGAGTGTGACTTGTCCAAGGTCACCCAGTGGGTTTCCATGGCTGAGCAGAGATTTGAACCCTGGCCTCCCAGAGTCCGAGTCCAACACTCAGGCCACTACACCACACTGACTCAGGGCCTTTGCAGACTGCCAGAAATAGTGCACTTTAAATTGAGGCACTGCCCTGGGTCAGTGCTAGGGTATCATGGGAATTGTATTTTTTTCTGAGACATTGAGCCTTCTCTGCCAGAGAGCTCTGGTGCCACAATAAATTACAGTTCCCATGATTCCCTAGCACTGAGCCAGGGCAGTGCCTCAATTTAAAGTGCACTATTTTTGGCAGTCTGCAAAGGCCTTCAGTCCCAATATTGTTGTTTTGTTTTCCAGCATATGGCAACCCTAAGGAGACTTTATCCTGGGGTTTTCTGGGGCTGAGAGTGTGTGACCGGTGGGTTTCCGTGGCTGAGTAGGGATTTGAACCCCTGTCTCCGGGAGCCCAGCTCTCAGACCAAGACACTACACTGGTTCTGAGGTGGAGATAGTGAGATGTAATATCTGGGTACAAAGCCATCTAGTGCTTTAAAAGTCACTCTCCTGTTTCCTTGACCTCCTTCCAAAACGATGCTCTCCTAATTTCAGTAGGACAAAACCCCAGCAATCCGACCCTTGCCTATGCAGACTATGTCTAGTGAGTCCTATTTCCCAGTAGTAGAGTTGCATATCCCTTTCCTCCAGGGTTGCATCCGCATTGCAGAAATAATCCAGTTTGACACCACCTTAAATGCCATGGCTCAAGGCGATGGAGTCCTGGGAACTGCAGTTGGTTTGGGCACCGAGTTCTCCGACAAGGCAGGCTAAACTAAACTATCATTCCCAGGATTCCATAGCATTGAGCCATGGCAGTTAAAGTGGTGTCAAACTGAATCAGTGCGGACGCATTTTAAAACACTTGAACAGGGAGAATGGCTTATAGCAAGGGTGGGCAACTTGCAGCCCGTGGGCCAAAAGTGTCCTTCACCCCAAGAAGACAAGATGTTGAATACCTCAGGGAAGAGAAGGAATTAAAATGGGGAATGCTTTGGGAATTTAAGTTGTTGTGTGCCTTCAAGTCGTTTCCGACTTATGGCGACCCCAAGGCGAACTTGTCATGGGGATTTCTGGGGCTGAGAGAGTGTGACTCGCCCAAGGCCACCCGGTGGGTTGCCAGCACCAGCGGGGATTCCAACCCGGTTCTCCCAAACTCAAACCACCACACCATACCCCTCACCAAAATATATATATATTGGTGTGCACCTAAAGGCATGCCTATATGGTGGAGACCTTAAGAAATTGAATCCACCAGTGAAAGGAAATAACTGGGAGTAGATTATACGTCCAAGCATTGTATTGTGCTTTTTATTTTATTTATATGTCGCCTTCCTCCCAGGAGAGGACCCTAGGCAGCTTCCATAACAGCAAGCCCTTTTTTTCTACCTCCAAGGGACGGATTGTGCTTTTTTCCCTAGATATAATTTCATTTTATTTAGAGGCCGCCTTTCTCCCAGGAGGGGACTCAAGGCGGCTTCCCTAACAAGAAGCCAAGCATTGTCCTTTTTTATTACATTTTTGCGTCCAAACCAAACCATGCATTGTGCGTTTTTGGGGGG